TATATATATATATATATATATATATATATATCTTTTAACATTCTTTTTTTCAATACCCGGAACTTTTTTTCTATCCTTGGAAACCGCTTTTCAGAAAACAAAAAAAAATTGCTTGAATAGTTTCTTCATTACGTCAAGAAAGAGTCACGTCTCTACGGGTCTCCTTTTAAATCCACCACAAACCAACTGGTACGACAAATGAAAAGACTAGTTAATACTCCGAACTTCACTATCTTCCAGGAGGAGTCTGCAACAATTATTGGAAACGGAAATATTGGGAGATAGAAAAGCAACTCATGTTCTGCGCCAAATTCTGTCCGGCAATATGTTGGAGGCTAGTGTTTTACAGCATATATTTATAGAAAAACTGCAACAAATCATGCAAGTATCCTTGACAGCAGTGGGAGGCAATGTATCGATGAATTGTAGAGGACGGGACGGGGCGGGAGTGAAGATGAGAAGAAAACAGGTGCGTTTTTATTTCCTACTAGAAGTCAAGCCACAAGAGAAATTGTGGCTCTATTTGTGTTCAACTGAAGATGAAAGAAGACAAACAAGACCGATATATATATATATATATATATATATATATATATATATATATATATATATATATATATATATAAAAGAAATATATGTATTAACAACTGATTACAAAGCACATAGACAGTTAACATTTGTTTTTTTTGTGTGAACATATGTGTTTGTTCTTTGGTGAATTTTCGTACGTACGCGTATGTTTGTAATGTTCATAGCGTCTTCCAAGAAATGGGAAAAGCTGTCTTTTGTAAGAGCTCACATAGTAGCGGTATTCGCTGAAATGAAGAAAGAAGAGAAAGAATTACCTCACCTCCACGCGAGGTGTGATGCGGCACGAGGCCTGAGGGAAAAAATAACGTGTTAAGAGATCGCCCGGTATTTATAGTACAGGGAGAATGACCCCCTAGTGACAATTTGGGAATTAAGGAGGAGGTAACTCCGACAGAATAAACTGTGCGATACGGCTGATAAATTGATGGAAGTCATGACCCAAGATAACTACTTGCAAGTGCAGGGATTCCAAATGGTGACATAACCCAAATACAGGAGGAAAACAAATTTTAAAAAAGGCAAATATTTGATTTGACTAAAAAAAAAAGAAGCAGGCAACAGTGCAGGAACAAGCCAAATGTAAGGAGATGAGTTACTACTACAAGAGAATCAGTGACAGGAGTACAAAATGCACAACTGCTTGCAATTAAGATTCCTAGGGAAACGAATAACCCAACAATCTTCGTCGGCGGGATACGGTGGCATTTTGAACTCAAGTCGACTCTTCCACATAATCGACAGGAATTTAAAAAACATATTCCTGATCGATAGTGGATCACAAATATCGTTAATTTCAACTTCCCAGACAGAACATTTAAAAAGCCCAGAAAAAACTCAAATTACGAGTGGTAAATGGTTCGCTTATCCACACAAATTTACATAAATCTATGACACTTAATTTGTCACAACGTCGTGATTTCCAATGGAATTTAATCTTGGCTGACACCACTACACCGATTTTGGGTAAGGAAGTTTTGCACCATTATGGCCTGTTAATTGACCTGTCGGAGTTAGCTCCTCCTTAATTCCCTAATTGTTCACTAGGGGTCGTTCTCCCTACACTATAAATACTGGGCGACTTTTTCACTTTGCATTTCAGCGGACACATTTAAAATGTGATCTCTCGTAGAGATCCGCGTTTTCGTCCACTTGTGGGAAAACGCCACGAAACACGAATACACGTACGTACTAACATTCACCAAAATACAAACTCTTTACGTTCACAGACAAACACAAATGTTGATGTCTTTGTCACTTGTAAATTTGTTGTTTAATGTTGTTAATAAATTTAACACCTCTGTGAGAAAACATGACATCACACACTGCATTGAAAGAACTGGTCCACTTGTCTTCATATGACCCAGTCAAATTGCCCCTCAATAAAATCAAGATTGCCAAACAGGGATTCCAGCTCTTAGAAAACCTCGGAGTAATTCGCCTTTCGAAATGCAAGCGGTCTTCACCTCTACGAATAGACCTTGTGGTCCTTACCACAAACTGAACGCGGTTACTCTTTTTGATAGGAACACAATTTCTAATGTAGAAGAGTTGTTGAAACACACACACACACACACACACACACACACACACACACACACACATATATATATATATATATATATATATATATATATATATATCGGTCTTGTTTGTTTTCTTTACATCTTCAGTGGAACAACTTGAGTCCGGCATTGTTCTTGTAGTTGGACATTCTTCTAGCAGGAATATACAGCACGTATTCCTAATACAATAACACACAAACCCACACGGTCCCTCTACAGATCTTAAAAGACAACGCAAAGACTGATGCCAAATATAATGGCTTAGTCCTTAAGTTGCATCAGCAGAAGAAAATTCTGAATTTTCTGAAATATTATCGAAGTATCAAGATATCAACCAAACCAAAATTTAACACCTCTGTGAGAAAACATGACGTCACACACTGCGTTGAAACAACTGGCCCACTTGTCTTCACATGACCCAGTCAAATTGCCTGCCAATAAAATCAAGATTACCAAACAGGAATTCCAGCTCTTAGCAAACCTAGGAGTATTTCGCCCTTCGAAATGCAAGCGGTCTTCACCTCTACGAATAGACATTGTGGTCCTTACCACAAACTGAACGCGGTTACTCTTTTTGATAGGAACACAATTTCTAATATATAAAATTTAACAAGCCAAATTCATGGAACTAAAACCTTTTCAAAACTTGACCTCATTCAAGCCTAGCATCAAATATCCGTAGTGGACTCTGACATCAAGAAGACAGCCATTATAACGCCGTTTGGGTTTTAAAATTTTTACCTATACCGTTTGAACTACGGATTACAGCCCAATCCTTTCAAGTTCTTCAAGGTCTGGATTCTGTTTTCTGTTACATAGATTACCTGTCTATTAGCAGCCTTTTACCAGAATATATATGACATTTACAAGATGTTTTTGAAAGATTTCGAAAATATCTCCTGTTAATTTCCCTCTGAAAGTTCTCCACAGACTTAACTGGGTATTGAACTCATACTCTGGCACAGTGGATAAAGGCGTTGGTTAGATCCATTGACAGGACTCAAAAAGTGTGAGTTCAATACCCGGTTAAGGCAGTGGAGAACCTTCAGAGGGAAATTAAGAGGAGATTAAATGATAACTGCCATCCATTAAACATGGCACGTGGAACTAGAACAGTCTACCCCAGTGAGCGTAATAAAGGGTTAAATTCGACATTCCAACCACTTGAAGAAGGCTGGAGCGTACAACGGCCGAAACCGTGTAATGAATATGGCGACAAAGATGAGGACAATAGCAAATAATATACTATATATAGTACTTCAGGCATAATTTTTACTTAGTACATATATTTGCGTATAGATGTTCCGGCTATATTAAGGAAAATTTAGTTTGATATATATATATATATATATATATATATATATATATATATATATATATAGGAGGCACGGTGTATTAGTGTATAGCAGGGCTCTGATTGAGGAATTACGTGCTAATACACTTGGGAAAGGTATTAATCTTCTTCTCCCTCTAGCTATGGGAAAATATGAGGACTGACTGGGTTGGCAATTTGCCTAGCTACGAGAGGTACAACTCTTAATTTAGAACCTGCGGTGGCATTCCGTATTCGGCCCTTCAAAAAGCGTGTTTTTTTCTGCACAAAGCCTTCACCACTATAATCAAATCATGACTATCACTAGGAACAGTGCTGCTTGACCCCCATATGAGGTCAGAATCCACGATATATATATATATATGGGGGGGGGCGTGTGTGTGTGTTTGCCAGCACGATGCCAAAGTCATCTCAGGGCTTGAACGTGCTGGTCTACTTAAAATTGTTGATTACGCTAGATAACACGCTGTTTCACAGAAACTGTAACTAAGGTCTGCTCAGCATAGTTGCAGTATAAACCACGGATGGGCTCTCTGGGTGTTAAACAATATTTAGCGTTGACTTATATATAGAGAGGCACGGTGTATTAGTGTATAGCAGGGCTCGGATTGAGGAATTCCAATCGAATCCATGACATTCACTTGCGTGCTGATACCATTGGGAAAGGTGTGACGTATGTTCTTCCACCTCCAGCTATTTGTAAATAGCACGACAGAGTGGGCTCTATATGTGTGTGTGTGTGTGTTGAGAGAGAGAGCGTTGATATTTTTTCTTCTTCTGTATCTATCTATCTATCTATCTATCTATCTATCTATCTATCTATCTATCTATCTATCTATGTATTTGTAATGAAAAGCGTCTTACTTACATTTATGCCCTATTTTATTAATCTAAAACGTCAACCTTTATCCTTATTCAACCTTCAACTTTTACCTATCTATCATACCAGTAGAGATTCGTATTTGACGCCACTGGGCTCCAATTTATCAGTGTAAAATATTTAGCACAGAGAAACAATCTCGGGTTGAATACACCTTTACCCTGGTGATCTGTGCCTACCTTTCTACCTCTCTCTAGTTCCCGGCTACAAATACGCGATGTAGACATTCACAAGCGTGTGTTCTTCCCTGGATATTATATCCGGAAAATGACTGACAGGTCACATCCGATGGACTATATATTTTCCATAGCCGGAAGCCCGATATCCGTCTAATTTTACCCGCGAGACATAAAACCAGACGATGAATTACCGAACCCAATTTTGTACTGGCAATTTTTTTATTTTTTTATATGCTATTTATGTACGTTGCAGATTGCTTTTTATAGCCGAAGTTGTACATTTTTTGAAGACTTTGTATTACTTTTGTCTGGTATATTTAGAGTAATGTCTCCAGGTTGATCAAAAAAATATAAAATGGCGACTCGAGTGGAGAAGGAGTTGACAAAGTAGACAATGAGTGTCTTGGTTTGCTTAATAATGTATCGGAGATGGCAATGAGATGAAAAATAGAAGTTTAATTCGGGAAGAAATGAAAAGCAAATCTGTGAAGAAATAAAATAATATTCCAAAGAAGAAAAAATAAGAGTGATAGAAGAAGGAAAAAGAAAATCAGGAAGAAAAATATAAAAAGAAATACGAGATTTATAAGAAATGACGGAGAAAAAGTGGTATTTTGAAAGAACGGGAAAGAGAATGTTGCGAAGAAATAAAGGAGGGAATTGTGAAAAAGAAGGAAAGAAATTAGATCAGAATTTTGAAGAAAAGCGGTAGAAAAAGAGAAGGCTGTGAAAAGAGGAAGAAAAAGAGAAGGCTGTGAAAAGAGGAAGAAAAAGAGAAAGCTGTGAAAAGAGGAAGAAAAAGAGAAGGCTGTGAAAAGAGGAAGAAAAAGAGAAAGCTGTGAAAAGAGGAAGAAAAAGAGAAAGCTGTGAAAAGGAAGGAAAGCTGAAAAAGAAAAAAGAGAAGGCTGTGAAAAGAGGAAGAAAAGAGAAAGCTGTGAAAAAGAGGAAGAAAAAGAAAGCTGTGAAAAGAGGAAGAAAAGAGAAGGCTGTGAAAAGAGGAAGAAAAGAGAAAGCTGTGAAAAGAGGAAGAAAAGAGAAGGCTGTGAAAAGAGGAAGAAAAGAGAAAGCTGTGAAAAGAGGAAGAAAAGAGAAAGGCTTTGAAAAGAGGAAGAAAAGAGAAAGCTGTGAAAAGAGGAAGAAAAAGAGAAAGCTGTGAAAAGAGGAAGAAAAAGAGAAAGCTGTGAAAAGAGGAAGAAAAAGAGAAAGCTGTGAAAAGAGGAAGAAAAAGAGAAAGCTGTGAAAAGAGGAAGAAAAAGAGAAGGCTGTGAAAAGAGGAGGAAAAAGAGAAAGCTTTGAAAAGAGGAAAGCAATGAAATACAAAGAGGTTGAGGAGAGGAATATTCTTAGAAAAGATTGTGACGAGGATGCAATTATGTTTTTGACGAAGAAACATAGAAGTGTCTATTGAGGGGAAAAGCACTTTTCTAGAGAGAGAGAGAGAGAGAGAAAGAGAGAGAGAGAGAGAGAGAGAGAGAGAAGATGACAATCAATCACTAAATCACTGGAAAGGAGTATTAAAAAAAAACTTGACAAATAACAAATCACTTTTTGAAAGTAAAATAATTGGGTGAAAAATGAGTGATATATAAAAAAAACAGTTGAAGAAAGAAAGACAGAAGATTATAGGCAATCAACGAGAAGAAAAAGAAACAGAAAAAGAAGTAGGAGGAGGAGGAGGAGAACGAGAACGAGAACGAGGCAGAAGATGATGATGCGGTCTAGTAAAAGATAGATTACACGGAGGACGATATTTGGGGAGGAGAACAACAGCAACAACAGAAAAGGGGAGGTGAAGGGGGTCCACCAAATGATAGAAGAGATGGAATATATTATTTTTGGAGGAGCAGAGAACTAAACTGAGGAGGTGGTGAGGAGGATGAGGGAAATAGGTCTAGCGAAAGAGAGAAAAACCGAAATATAACAGAAGTAGGAGGAGGGGGAAAGTGAGAAGATTATGGTGATGAGGGGGAACTGACAAAAGATAGAAGGAGTATAGTACAACAACAACAACAACAATAATAATAATAATAATAATAATAATGAGAAGAAGAAGAAGAAAGTCATAAGAGATAAAAATATAGGGAATAGAAAAAGAAAATTCTTAGTGAAAGAAAAGATAAAAATTAAACAGAAATATAATAAAAATATACAAAGTTAAAATTATTAGAAATAGTGAAAAAAAACTATGATATTAGAAAAGACTAAATATAAGTCAAATCTTTCAAAAAAAAAAAGATAAAAGAATGGAAGAAAATAGCGTAAACAGAAGAGGTCTTGAAGATCATGATGTTTGCAATGAAAGAAAGGAAAACAAAAAGGACAAAACAATTACAAGGATTAAAGCAATGAATAATAAGAAGTAAAAACGAATGAAAATGAAAGGAAAGAGAAAAAATAAATATGAATGTTAAGAGAACTAAGAAGAATTGTTTTTGATGAAAGAAAGAAAAAAGAAAGAAAGAAATAAATAAAGAAGGAACGGAACAAAGAAAGAAAAAGAAAAAAAAAGAAAAAAGGGAAGAAATAACGGAAGGAAGGAAGGAAGAAAGAAAGAAAGAAAGAAAGAAAGAAATAAATAAAGAAAGAAAGAAGGAACGGAACAAAGAAAGAAAAAGAAAAAAAGAAAAAAGGGAAGAAATAACGGAAGGAAGGAAGAAAGAAAGAAAGAAAGAAAGAAAGAAGGGAAGAAATAAAAAAGAAACAAAAAAGAAATGAAGAAAAAAGAAATAAAAAAGAAAGAACGGAACAAATTAAGACAGAAAGAAGGAAAGAAAAAAGGGAAGAAATAAAGAAAGAAAGAAGGAAAGAAATAACGGAAGAAAGGAAGGAAGAAAAAATGAAAGAAAGAAGGGAATAAATAAATAAATAAACAAAGAAAGCACGGAATAAAGAAAGAAAGAAAGAAAGAAAGAAAGAAAGAAAGAAAGAAAGAAAAAGAATGAATGAAAGAAAGAAAGAAAGAAAGAAAGAAAGAAAGAAAGAAAGAAAAAGAATGAATGAAAGAAAGAAAGAAAGAAAGAAAGAAAGAAGGGAATAAATAAATAAATAAAGCACGGAATAAAGAAAGGGAAAAGAAAGAAAGAAAGAAAGAAAGAAAGAAAAAAAAAGAATGAAAGAAAGAAAGAAGGGAATAAATAAATAAATAAATAAACAAACAAAGGATGGAGGGAATAAAGAAACAAAAACGAAAGAAAGAAAGAAAGAAAAGAAAGAAAGAAAGAGAGAAAGAAGAGAATAAATAAATAAATAAACAAAGAAAGCACGGAATAAAGAAAAAAAGAAAGAAAGAAAGAAAGAAAGAAAGAAAGAAAGAAAGAAAGAAAGAAAGAAAAAGAATGAAAAGCATGGGGACCAGTGAAGAATGGGATCTAATAAGAATGAAAATGATTAAATAAAGAAGATGAAAATCACTCATGAAAAACGAACGACAAAAGAAAAGTAGAAAACTACAACAGCCAATCAAAAAGGAAAACGAATGAATAGTGTTTATCGGGGAGGAAAAAGAAGATACACAGAAACTGGATTATTTTGGACTCTGACGTCCAATGCCATCGATTAGATTGTTTATATTGGTCTGGCTATGGAATAAAACTGATTGGAATCAATTTCATGGATATGGAAAAGGTGTGTGTTTTGTTTTTGCTTTTTTTTTGTCAGAGACCATTCTGTTTTCTTTTCTTATTTCTGCCAGAATTCACCTGATAAATATTTAATGAATTCAGTTAGGTTGAACCGATATTGGGAAAATCATTTACTTTCACATGGACTTAACGATGCTGTCCAGTTTCGATGCTTTTAATACAAAGGTCGTTTTTTTGCAATGAATGTGTACAGTCTGATTGAAACCTGAGCAACAATGCCCCAAAAAACTCTATTCAAGATTACGAGTGGACACACACACACGCACACACACACACACACACACACACACACACACACACATATATATATTAATTCAGGGTTCATTAAATAATATAGACAAGTTTTGTATATTTATTTTAAGTAAGTCCCTTTCATATTGTCTGATAAGCTTAATCACATTATCGTTGAAAGACGAAAGGGAAACACCATATTGATACATGTTTAAATGCAATCTAAGCTTTCGGGTTACATAAGCCATTATCAAGGATGACAATTTCAATAAATCAAACAACAACGGACGAAAAAACAATGATAGTCTGCCCTTGCTGCATGAAAATTTCAAGTAAGGAGAAACTCGTATATACGAGACGCGGGAACGAAAATCGCGTTGCAGCTCGTGACGTCACACATGGACACGCGAGAGTGAAAACGAGAAGTATGGGAAGCCGTTGGTATAAACCAATGGCTTCTGTTATAAATTATAGGCATTTACGGATATTTGTGGAGATTTCATAGTTTATTTTGTTTCGGTAAGGATTCAACTGTTTTATGTATAAAGCTTCAAGAATTTTTAATTTTTGTTTATTTTCATGTTTAAGTATAAATGTGTTGTCAACAAGGATTTTCTGAAATTGAGTACACGGGCAGGCATGTTGTTTTAAATGTCTAACAATGCTAGAGTTATCATTTAAATGTAGATTCAAGCGTCGTGAAAGCGAGTTTGTGGCGTGACCAACACACACACACACACACACACACACACACACACACACACACACATATATATATATATATATATATATATATATATATATCAATCACAGACAGTAATGTTTCGCTGTATCACTATCATTAGTTCGACTAAATATCCGAATGTGTCAAGCCAGGATTGAAACCTAATCGATTTGGTGTCAGTCAGAGTTTCGACGACTGAGCTATCTTCATTCGACAGAATTATCTCGCTAAATCTAGCGTATTGTTGTTACGAATGTAAACGAATACCAATCCGCCATAGGGCTCGATTCATTTTACGGAAGCTTTTCATTAGCGGAGGTGGCTGTTGTTTGTAAAACTAACTTGTCATTCAACAGTGCACAAATGAAATATATTTCCAAGAGCTATGTATGTGTCCGTGTGTGTATGTATGTGTTTGCTTGTATATATATATCTATATTTAGGCAGAAAAATCTCTTTTAAGCATCAAGTAATATTGAAATACTATCTTTTAAAAATAAACTGTAATAAGTATGTAATAAAAGCGCATGAGACCTATTTTGGGATCTAATATCGTCGTTCTACTGAATATTGTAATGTAAACAAAGAGTGTTGTGACATAAGCGATGTGTGACGTAAGTAAAGTGTGTTGTGAAGGCAGCGAGGTGTGACGTGATTTTTTTTTGTTTTTTTTTATACATTTAAGGATTCGGGCTCTTAAGTTATAATTGTTTTTATTTGTTGATGGTTGTTGTATGAGTATTGCTCTAAGGGACATAAATCTTGCTAAGCTTGGTAGAAGTTGAATAAGTCCGGTGAGAAGACACATCTTTCCCTTAAGCCCCTTTCTATTTTTGTATATCTGCGGAACTCATTTTTCATCTTTATGAAGGCGGTTTGCTGCCAGCATAGGCTTTTGATTACTCTAATATCTTTCCCGAATATGTCAAGTTTCCTGATCTGCTCTGACAGATCTTTGTAGCATAATATGTCGAACGTCTTTGCGTAGTCTATAAAACATAGGTGCATGTCCTTCTGCATTTGAATTTCCCTTTCTGATAACATTCTAAGCATGAATATCGCGCTCCTTGTTCCAGTGTCTTAAACAAAGCTACGCTCTTCTTGGCTTATCTCTAGCCTGATTCTGCTGCACGCTCTATTCCTCAGAATACGGATGTTGAGATTTTTTTTGGTGCCTCATTAAGCTGATTGTTTGGTGGAGTTCACATTTATTTGCACCTGGTTTGTTAGACAGTGCTATGCAAACAGATCTGCTGAGATCTTCCAGGATATAGCCACTGTTGTAGATTTCATTTATTATTTCTGTAATCTTGTCCATGCCCAAATCATCTAAGGCTGTCAATTCATGGTACGTAATGAACACCAGAAAAAAAAGAGAATATCAGTATTAAGAAATTGGTGTATACGTGACTGACAATATAGGGACATTTTATACATGATCTCCATTTAAATATTAATTCAAATCAATATAGATAAGAGACTTTTACTTGATATCATTCCTCTTTTTATTCACTGACGGAAATATTTTATTTTTAAACCTAATAATTTCCAACTTACACGGATTTTAATCTAACAAATTTATTAGCCATATTTTGATGTATAATTCTTTAGTTTTTTTTATTTATTTTCTGATGAATGATTCGACTTATACGCGGATACATCTGCCAAACTCAGACTATTGACAGAAAAGTGAATAATTGAATGCTTTGTAGAAACCAAAAGCGTCTAATCATTTTCTCCCCCACAGACATGATTAATTAATTCTTTTGTCAATTCTTAAGAACGGGTAACCGGACAAATGTTTTTTAGTTTTTGGTTTGTTCGCTAAGAATTAGTAATGAAAGACTTCTTTAGCATTAAGTGACATTTTTAAAATAATTCTGCTCGTAAAATGAATGAATTTGTCGAATTGGAAGTCTATAATTAGAAATGAATGACGGTTAATATTTAATTTTCAAAAAAATATGTTCCAGATTTGAAAATACTTGCAGCTATTTATCATTTGGTATTATTTTTTCTTCCTTATTTTTATTTATTTTTTAAAAAATCATTTTAAGACATTAAAGCGACGAAGGGGTTAGAGGTGATTGAGTGTGAGGGGATATGAGAAAAAGAAAACATATTAAGGTGAGAGAACAATAAAAGAATAATACTTAAAAAGAGAAGAGATAACGACTGACATTGCATTTAGATTTTCTAACATCAAAGTTTATTGGAAGTAACCTATGGTTATATCTAAGCATTTCAACAGTAAAATGATGAGACCTAGCTGCCAATCTAGTGCTGCATTTAAATTCGTAAAGGCTAGGTACCAAAGAGGAGAGTACAACGGTAGCAAAGTAACTGAAGCCGAGATTACAAATAACATTACAGATTCTTCGTTAGATTTTATCAAGAATCTCTCTATATATATATTATAAATTAACTGATTTAAAATATGGTTTCTTCGCTACACAGGAATTACCATGTTTCAAAAACCGAAGCTAAAAACTTCAAATTTAATTATATTTTTAAATTAAAAGCATTAGTTCTGTTTCATCCTCAAGTTACTGTTTCATCCACGCTTGCGGATGAAACAGAACGAATGCTTTTAATTTAATTATATAATTAATTTTGAAGTTTTTAGCTACGGTTTTTGAAACATGGTAATTCTTATGTAGCGAACAAACCATGTTTTAAATCAGTTAATTTATAATATTTATGCTCTGTAAATTTACATTGAGCACTGTTTTGTAAAGATAAAAAAATCAATTAGAAGACCGGATTATATAACTTACTTTCTTTCTTTTTATTATAATACATGCATACATGCAGCCACATTCAAATGAAGAACGAATGGTAGACTTATAAATATGCAATATATATTTTGAGATAGCAGAATCTTTGAGCATAGAACTTAAGTTTACAGCTAGAGGTTTCAACAGTGACATGTTGAGGCTGCCACTAATCTAGAGGTAAGATTAAATTCATAAAAAAGTATGTACCAAAGAGGAAAGTTCATCAGAACAATTATCGTGAAAATATTTATAGAAAAGCACAGTGAAACTACGTTATGTTGGTAGGAAAGTGAGTGAAGCCGATATGCCAGGTCAATACCATGGCACTCCATAATTTCCTGTGCGTTGCAGCTCTTATTAACTTTTTTCTATCTCTCCTAATTTCTCCTCTGACAACCATTTCTACTTCCTATTTTCTTCTGTCATCCCTGCCTTCAATATCTATTGTGTGAGTCATATTTTCTAATCCTGTTTTTCTCATGATGTACCTTAGAAATTTTGAGTCTCTCATTCTGGTTCTTTGTGTAAGTGTTGTTATTCATACCCTTTTCTCTAAAACTTTATCACAAGGTTTTCTCAGTATCTTTCCGTAGAATCACATATTTGTTGCTTCAAGTCCCTTTCACCTGTTAGGAGATTGCCCAGCTATTCCTCTCAATTAGGAGGACAGTACTCAGTATTTTTATTTTCTTCTCTAAGATCGAAAATATCAAGGTAAGAATTTATTTTGAATTAAAAAAGAAACTATTTAGAATTGCAACTCAGTTGGAACTTAAATATATATACATGAATCCTTTTCTTATGTATTCATCGGCTAAACCGACTGACCCTTTCCATTTTCTTGCAAGTGACCTGTGTAGTTAGAATCCGTGGAAGATAAAAAATAAGACTTATCAAAGTGTGGAAGAACAATGACTAGCTAATTAGAGGTGGTGTCTCAATAAGATTCCCGTGGAGAAGATAACGGAACACC